ACCTTACAGGAAAGTAGGGAGGAAGGGGATAAGAGAGCAGGGGTATGATAGAGGGGAGGGCACATAGGGGGAGGGGGTAATCAGAACCAAACATTTCTGAGGAGAGACAGGGTCAAAAGAGAGAATAGAATAAGGGGGGGGTGGAATAGGATGAAGGGAAATATAGTTAGTTTTTCACAACATAACTACTGTGGAAGTGTTTTTTGCATTACTACACATGTATAACCTCTATTGAGTAGCTTGCCTTCTCAATGAGGTTAAGTGGGGAGGGAGGAAAGGAGAAAATTTAAAACCCAAAGTTCTAAAAACAAAATTAAAGATTGTTTTCACACGCAACTAGGAAATAAGATGTACGGGCAATGGGGTATAGAAATCTGTCCTTCCCTACAGGAAAATAGAAGGCGAAGGGGATAAGAGAAGAGGGGGAAGATAGAAGTGAGGGCAGATTAGGGGAAGAGGTATTTGGAGTGCACACCATCTTGGGGTGGGGAGAGGGATGAGATGGAGAGAAAATCTCTAGGGAAGAGATTTCCCTGGGGTTGTGGGTACAGATTCACATACAAGAAAGAATAACATTACCCCAAACTTTACTTGTTCTGGTATAATAACAAACACCTCTGACACAAGGATTACAGAAAATTCTCTTTTATAATATGTCTCTAATCCAGATTAGCACAAGAAAACTTTGGTATAAATTGCTTTCTGAACTATGTTGACTTAATGCTTACCAAAAGGTGTGTTTCAGGCAGATTCTTGGGGTGAAGTTGTCTGGTTTGATGCCACAGACTACTTTCTAGGTCTGGAATCTGGAACCTTCTCTAGTTGAACTCATATCCTCCCATCCAACTTCTTCCCTTCCTCTGACTCTTCTTTCATTTCACTAAGAGCTGGGAAGAACTCCTCTTGTTACTTGTCTCTGCTATTCTCCTCTCCTCTACTCTAAGGCTCTCAGATATTGGAAAAATACTGCCATCATCTTGGTGCCTCGTCCCTTCCTCTGTACCAACACCCTCATCCTTCTCTCCCCCACATACAGCAACTCTGCTTCACAGAGGGAGATTGTTATCACTTCTAGTGGTTCAAGTTTTTTACATGTCACTGATTAATCCTTAGGAGTGGTGGGTGTAGGGAAAGGGTTACTGGGCCTGCTGAGTAAGAATCCCTCATATAGGGAGAAATAGATTGAGGAAGGAAGAATTGATGAACAGCAGAGGGGGCTCAGCTGTGGTTATACACCATCAATTTGTGGTGGGTAAATTAGCCCATCAATATGTTAATATGAGAAAATCAGCCTATAATGTATGAGATAATCAGTCCAGTAATATATTAATATGTTGATCTTTCAATTATCCTCAAATCATTTCCTGTCAGTGTCTCCAGTGAAACTATTAGAACCTCCATGGCATGGACTGGGTCTCCTCATTCTTTTTCTCCCATGCCCTCCATGTCTTCTATCCCCTCAAAACTTGAGGTTCTACACTAAGTAGGTCCTTCAATGATTACTCAGTCCTTCACCACTGCTTCCTGAGGGGAAACTTATTTGGGAAGCTGGCGTCCAGTTCTTGCAATGCTGGCATATTCCACAGACTCACTGCGGATAGGAGTCAAACCAGGGTTGTACCCCATTTGTGCGTTGGCATAGATTGAATCCCCAAGGCTGATCGGGGTTCCATGGACCACCAAGGCATATTGGATGCCTTCAGAACCCTCGTCTTGCATTTCTATGGTGAATTCCTAGGAGCCAGAGAGAGAGGGAGGCCATTAGCCAGAAAGTAGAGATCACAGTGGGGGAAGTTGCTAGTGCCAGCTTTGGTGTCCTCATGCTAGGTGTTGTGTAGAGTGGAGGAGAGGAGAGGGAAGTCAGGTACTACAATGGGGGAAGGAAACATGTTTCAGAGACATACTTGGGGATGTCCTAGATTCACATATAAAATATTGGCGCATCTAGTACATTTCTCTCATTTTATAGAAGAGAATAATGAGTACAAGTGAGGAGAGATGACTTTCCTGAAGTGACACATGGAGTTAGTGATATAGCCAGAACTAGATCCAAGATGTCCCAGTCACATTTATGCATTCAACAAGCATTTATTAAGTGACTACTATGTGCCTGGCTTGCTAGTTGCTTCCTTAGTCAGTCAAAAAATATTTACCAATATAGAAATCTATCCTGCTCTACAGGAAAATTGAAGGGGAAGAGGATAAGAGAAGGTGGAGGGGAGATAGAAGGGAGGGCAGATTAGGGAAAGGGGTATTCAGAATGTATGCCATTTTGGGGTAGGAGGAGGGATGAGATGTGGAGAAAATTTGGAACTTAAAATCTTGTGGAAGTGAATGTTGAAAACTAAAACTAAATAAATTAATAATAATGATAATAAAAGAAAAAAAAAAGAAAAATATTTACCAAGTGGCTATCATGTCCTAGATGCTATGTTAGGTGCAGTTGTCTCAATTAGATGTTGGGGAATTATTTGACATACCTTATGACGCAATAGGAATCATACTAGGGAATTCAGATCAAGTCCAAACTAAGGAAGTCACAGTTAATTCTGTAGCTGCCCAACATAGTAGAAGTAGCTTATTAGGTTAGATCATGCAGCACAGTGTTTACAATGAGCATTTGGACCTCTACTTCAGTCCTAGACCTCTCATGAATCTTTGACACCATCAATCACCCCATTTCCTGATATTCTGTTTTCTCTAGGTTGTTATGACACTACCTTACCCTTCTTCTCTTCCTTCCTGTCAAACCATTCCTTCTCACTCACCTTTGCTGGATCTTCATCCACTTACATTCACTAATAGTGAGCACCCCCTAGGGTTCTATCCCAGACTCTCTTCCCCTCTCCTTTTGTACTATTTCACTTGGTGATCTCATCAATAACCATGGATTTGTCATCTCTGTGCTAATGATTCTGAGATCTATTTATCCAATAATCACTTCTCTCCCAGCCTCCAGACTCAAATCTCCAAATGTCTATTGGATCTCTTGAACTGAATATTCATAGATATTTCAAACTCAAAATGTTTAAAACTAAATTCATTGTCTTTCTTCCCAAACCCTCCCCCTCCTCCAAACTTTCCCATTACTATATAGGGCACTACCACCCCTCCAGTAACAGAAGCTCACAACCTAGGTATCATCTTAAACAACTCTCCAGTTCCTCTCTGTCTCTCTGTCTCTCTGTCTCTCTCTCTCTCTCTCTCTCTCTCTCTCTCTCTCTCTCTCTCTCTCTCTCATCTTCCATACCTAATCTATTACCAATGCTTTATTAATTTTACCTTCATAACATCTCTCTCATATACCCTTTTCTCTCTTTTGATTCTGCCACCACATTGATGTAGTCCTTTTTATCAACTAGTTACTATTCTTCAGTTATTTTTCACTCATGTCCTACTCTTTGTGACCCCATTTGGGGTTTTCATGGCAGAGATACTGTAGTTTGTTATTTCCTTCTCCAGCTCATTTGACAGATGAGGAAACTGAGGCAAATAGGACTAAGTGACTTGCCCAGGGTCTCACAGCTAGGAAGTATCTGAGGCCAGATTGAAGACAAGTCTTCCTGATTCCAAGCCTAGTGCTCTATACATTATGCCTCCTAGCAGCCCAAATCCTGGGCTATTACAATGACCTGCTGGTTGGTTTTCCTGCCTCAAGAGTTTCTCCATTCCAATTCATCCTTCACTCAGCTGTCAAAGTGATCTCAAGTCTGATTATGTCATCCTACCTCACCCTCCTCCAAATTCAATCAACTCCAATGCTTCATTGTTCTTCAGAACAACATATTACCATCCTTTGCCATACAAAGCCCTTCACAATATGGCACCCTCTCCATTTTTAGTCTTCTTACTCCTTACTCTGCACACCTCTGAAGTACTCTGTGATCCAGTGCAAACTTCCTTGCACCAGACAGTCTACGTCGTGATTTGGTGCATTTTTGCTGGCCATTCCCCATGCCTGGAATTCCCTCTCTCCTCATCCCCACCTTCTGGCTTTCTTATCTTCCTTCCAGCCTGAGCAAAAATGACATCTTTTACAAGGTCTCTACCAAACCCTTTTATGCTAGTGTCTCTGTTGATTACCTCTAGAGAGCCAGTCAAGAAGCACTTACTAAGCATCTACTATGTGCTAGGCATGGAATATACAAAGGAAAACAAAAGACTGACTGTCCTCCTCTCAAGGAGTTCACAGTCTAAAGAAGGAAACAAAATATAAACAACTTTGTCTAAGCAACCTATAGAGAGGTTAAATTGGAAATAATAAACAGCGGGAAGTCACTAACCTTCTATAATTTGTCCTGTCTGGATTTAGAGCCAGAAGGAACCATGGAGGTCACTGAGTCCAAACCTCCCTACCCCCATTTTACAGATGAAGAATATGGCCAAGGGAGTTACCTTATGACTTACCCAAAGCCACACAGCCAAGACATATCTGTTGTGAGATTCAAACCTACATCTTTCTCACTCTAAGTGAGTCACTGTGTGACTGGAAAAGTCAATTGACCTCTGTAGATCTCTGGTTCCTTCTTTCTAATACCAGAGGGTTGGGCCAGATAATCCCTAAATTCCTTTCCCTTTCTAGACCCTCTGATCCTGTGATCTGCATGGAGGTGGGGTTTGTTTTTTCCTTTTTGGTCCAGAATGATGATTTCATTGGGGAACTCCAAAGTAGGAAACTCCCTTTACCAGTGGAGATCAACCACTGTTTTGTAACTTACTTTCTTAAGAGCATTAGTTGCTTCAGCTCCCAAGAGGCTAAGTAGTTTTTCCAAGGTCACCCACCCAGTGTGTGTCAGAAGCAGGACTTGAAACTAGGTCTTTCCTACTAATTTGCCAGTTCTCCATCCACTGGGTCACACTGTTCTGTGCCATAATGAGAACACCCTCCCACTCCAGATCATAAAACTGTTGTCAGGGGCAAATGAGATAAAGTATGTGAAGTTGCATAGGAAGGTACAATGCTCTGGGGACACAAGTAAAGGATGATTAGAATTACTTACCCTGGCCTTTTGCTTTTGCTCCTCAAGGTCATCATAGACATAATGGCAATCATCATCACCTGTCAAACACATGCCTTTAGAGATCCTACCCTTTAGGAGGGAGCTGAGATCTACTCCACTCCCTCCCCTCCCCAAAACTGAGACCTACCCACTGAAAGAAGTGTTTGGTGTGCTTCATGACACTTTTTTACCATTTCCCCAATCAAAACTTACCTGTTTTGTGTTCCACTTATACTTACTGCCTCAAGGAGTAAGTGTGTATGCTTGTGTGTAAAAGAGAGAGACAGACAGAGACAAAGACAGAGACACAGAGGCAGAGATAACAGAAAGAGATAGAAACAGAGAGACAGAGACAGACAGACAGAAAGAAAGAAAGAAAGACAGACAGACAGACAGACAGACAGAAAGAAAGAAAGAAAGAAAGAAAGGAGGAAAGAAAGAAGGGAGGAAAGACAGGAGAGAGGAAAGACAGGAGAGAGGAAAGACAGGAGAGAGGGAGAGAGAGACATACAGAGTCAGACAAAGAGAGACAGACAGAGAGAAAGACAGAAAGACAGAGGAGGGTGGGCAGAGGCTGACAGATTGACAGAGACAAAAACAGAGACAGAGGTAGCGAAAGAGAAAGTCAGAGAGAGAGATAAATCAAGTTTCTTCTCTATTCAAAAGCCTTCAGTGGCTGCCTGAATAAGGTACAAATTTCTAGCTTGGCATTAAGGCATTATGCAATCTAATTATCAACTTCCTTTTCCATCCTTATTTCATATTACTCATCATTGACTCTACCCCACCTTTCTCATCCTGACTGTTGCTGTCTCCATGCCTGTGCTCACGATGCCTCCTGGACCTGGAATCAGACTTCTCATCCCTTAAGCCCATCTTCCTCTATTGAAGTCATTCTATTACTCCCTGGCTTAGGCCAGATGCCACCTGCCCTATGAAGTCTTCCTTGGTCCCCTCACACTTGGGTCCCTAATTTAGCTCAAAATGACCTCTTCATTTTCAAGCTTCCATTTTTGCTGGCCCTCAGCCATGACTGTCTTTGACTTTCTCTCATTTGATCCTATTCATGGAGAAGTCTTTCCCTTGTTAAAAGGAGAATTCTAATATAAGCTCCTGGAGGGTAAGCTTTGGATCATGTCTTTCTTTGTATTCCCAGCACCTGCCATAGTGTCTTGTAAACTGGAAGTCCTTAATAAATGTCTGTGGCTTTAAATTGATAGGATAGGGAAAAAAAGAGGGAAAGAGAAAAATTGTTTTTGTAGGAAAGCTTTATTTACTTGAGATTTCTAGCAATTCATTCATTAAATTTACATATACTAATTGATTACCTTTATATGTGTAAAGCACTCTGCTAGGCTCTGAGAAAGAGGGAGAAGGAGGAAAGGGGAAAGGAATAAGCACTGACATAGTACCTACTATGTGCCAGGCTTTGTGCTAAGAGCTTTACAAATATTGCCTCACTTGATCCTTACAACAAACCTGTGACAAAGGTGCCTGAATGAAAGAAAGATGAAAAAAAAGACAAGACAGTATCTGACCCTGGGAAGCTCCCACTGTGTCAGGGGACAGATAAGAAAAGTAGACACTAACTATGACAAAAATTAGAATGAGTAAATTGTCATAGAGGAGAAAAAGAAAAGAGCATCAGCAGAGTAGCATCCACAGGCTATGTGGAACCCAGGGGCGATCTTCCCTCAGCCCCTGAGTCAGCAATGCTAGAGGGGCATGAGAGGGCAGTAAAGGAGGGAGGGTAGAAGGAAGTTGAGTTCCTTGGAAAGAGGCCAAGTGACCACATGTGACTTACCTGTCTCTGGTTTTTGGGAGACTTTCACGGCATATACGATGCCCGCACTGAGGAACCCAAGTAGGAGCAAAGAGACCAGCACTGAGCCCCAAATGATGAATTTCTGGTTATCTCTCGGGCTAAAGGAAAGGGACACCAGTCAGGTGAGACAATATGAAATAACAAGATCACCCTGGGGAAGGCAGTTAGCCCTGTGCCTGAGCTAAGAGAAGAACTGAGGTTTGTCTTTGGGGCCTCTTCCCACCCTTCTCCACAGGTGCCCACAGGAAACCTTAAGTTCCTCCCAGCTGCTTGGTGTCCTGATTCAGCACCTGGCTGCTGCTAAATCCAAGCAGCTGATGAAAGTTTCTTAAAAGTTCTAAAATTTACTAAACATGTAATACTTAAAATTTAAATAGTTAACTTTTCAGATTTTAAAAATAAATGTAACATTTATACTTCTGAATGCATTGAAGTTTAAAATTTCACTAGATGCCTTGTATACTTAGCTCTATATAAGATGGATTGGAAAAGAGAGAGACTGGAATCAGGGAGAACAATTAGGAAGCTTTTGGAACAGTCCAACAAGAGTTGCCAAGGGTCTGAACTTCAGACTCATCTGCAGAAAACATTTCCTGGTCTTCTTACACACACACACACACACACACACACACACACACACACACGCTGTTAATACCTTCACCCTGGGACTACTTTCTATTTATATTTTATATTAATATATTTTATATATTTTTTTCATGTTGTCTCTCCCCCATTAGAATATGAGCCTCTTAAGGGCAAGGACCAGTGTTTTTGCATTTTTTTCTGTACACCCAGTGTTTAGCACACTGCCCTACTCATAGGCAGTGCTTCATACATGCTTGCTGAATAATTAGCTAAATCAGAGTGGTGGCTATTTGGGTGAAAAAGGGAAGACAGGTGAAAGAAAGACTGTGCAGGTAGAGTGAGTAAATTGGGAATCTGACTGGATCAGGAGGCTGAGGGAGAGTGAAGAATTGTGGGAGACTCTGAAGCTGCCATCCTAGCTGACTAGAAGGACTGGAGGACCTTAATAGAAGTGGGGAAGTCGGGTTTAGGAGCAGAGGGGTAGGAGGGGGTGGGAAAGATAGTGAGTTCAATTTTAAGCCTGTTGAATTGGAATTGCCTACATGAAATCCAGTTTTAAATGTACAATAGCTATTTGGTGATGTATGACTAGGGCCCAGGAAAGACCAGGGAAGAACATACACACACACACACACACACACACACACACACACACACACACACGTATATATGTATACATATGTATCTATATACACACATATACATATATACATATATGCGTGCAGATGTACATATGTGTAAGTATATATGTGTATATATACATATGTGTGTATATATATGTCATCTGAATAGACAGGATAATTCAATCACTAGGACTAATTATCTGACGCATCTTCTAGATGAAGGGATCTCAACACTTTTTGTACCCTGGAGTCCTTAGTGAGTCTGGTAAAGCTCATGAACCTGTTCTCAAAAGAGTGTTTTTAAATGCATAAAATACAATACTTAGGATTACAAAGAAAACCATGTATATAGCCATATAGCTAATAAAATTTTTTTATAACAATTTCATGGACCCCAAGTTTAGAACCTTTGACCTAGAGACTGTACAGAGAGAGGAAAAACAGGGTCAGGCCAGATCAGAAACACCCACACAGAAGGGACAGACACGAATAAGAACCCAGCAGAGGAATCTGAGAAGGAACTGAGAGGAGCTGAGAGAGCTGAGGAAGAAGTTTCATGAAAACCCAAGAAAGAGTTTCCAAGAGAAAGGGAGGTGAGGGTGGGTCAGGGAACATCAGCAGAGTCAGATACTACAGAGATATCCAGAAGGATGAGTATTAAGAAAAGGCCAGTTATGACATCCCCGGTAACCTTGGAGAGAGCAGTTTCAGTTGAGTGATGAAGTCAGAAGTAAGGGGTTGAGAAATGAGGGAGAGGGGAAGTGGCAGCAACAGGAATATTTTTTCTGGGCAGGCATGTTCTAAGCAATCTTTTTGGAAGGTAAGTTTTCCTTGTTTCACAATTTTGCCTTGTTCGTTAATTTATAAAAGGAGAGAAAGGGAAAGGCAATCAGTCATGAGGGAATTCTGCTCAGCTTAACAAGAAGAGAGAGTTGTTTAACAGACAGAAATCTGAGGATTTGTCTAGTTTATCCGGAGATGAGGAAGTCTGATAAATGATTCCCACTGTGAAAAATGTAGCGGTGCAGGAGGGGCAGGGCTTAGCAAAGGACACAAGGCAGTGTGGATTCAGGGCTGAAAAATACTAGGCAGGGCTAAAAGAAATCAGATTTCAAGGCATCCTAAACTTGGAAATGAGGTAAAGGAAGAAAGCTAGTAAGTACAGTTTCACTAGGCCCAAGAGAACCCTTAGCTCCCTCTGTTTGCCCTTTTGTTCTCCCATTCCTAATAAAAAGCTGGAAAGAGGTCACTTTAGACTAACAGTTTGGCGCAGCACAAGTTAGCCCCACATTAACTGCTGAGGCTGAGAGCTCCTGAGACCCAATGGATTTCCAAAAAGGAGTTGTACCTGCTGGTGGCCAAGAAGATGGCAGAAGTGGTGAGAGGTGAGTTAGTGGTAGTTTGCGAAAGTTTGATGGTCTTCAATTTTGTGGCTGAAAGAAGAACAGAGAAAGGAAAAACTCGGCCCTGGACCCCACACCCTCACATGGCTCCTCTTCCTTGAAGGGGCCAGAATACTAGGCTACTGGCCCCAATGAGATGTTAGACCTTGAAAAACCTTTAGGCATCATATGTATGCATGCTGAGAGCTAATGTATTATAGCATATCATACGCCATTTCCTATGTATTATCAATTACTCTAGCCTGTTGTTCCTACTGCTAAAGTCATCATCAGACTCCTTTGCCACCTCCAGATGCTATGATGGCCTGATTGAAGATATCTCTATAGGATGCTTTCTAGTTCCCCAGGACTTGGGTGTAATTGGTGTCCAGAATGAAGGGAATACTAAAACTTCCCAGATGTAGAGTATTTATAATTCACAAAGAATATTTCCCGCATTCATTGTTACAATCAGACCCTCTCTCTCTCCCACCTCAATTTTACAAATGAGGAACTAAGTCTAAAACACATGAAATGACTCTCAGGGTCACAGCGTGAGTCATTTTCACAACTAAGACTTGAACCTATGTCTATGCTCTTTATCAGAACCTGCTAGGATCTATTCCAACAATACCTGTGATGGAAGCATACCCCTCTCCCTTGTCTCCTGGGGCCAGAGCTTCAAGCACCCTAAATCAGTGAAGCACAATTCTGTGTCTGTGTATATGTTGGGAGGACCCTGTGTGTCTCTATGCCTGGGTAAGTGCAGGTACATTTGTATGAATGAGTGTGAGTGTGTGACACAGGACACCCAAGACTTAGAAGCCCCAGGACAAATGTTGGCCCTGCATGGGAATGAGACCAGAGAAGGAAACGCCTCACCTTCCCTAGGGACCAGAAAAGGAGCTACCATCAAAACTGTGGTTTGGAAGGAAGTGAGGAGTGGAAGGGAATGGGGAGGGGCAGGAAGCTGAAGGACTGAAGGAGGGGGAGCAGATTCTCCCCGGAGACCTAAGGAGACCCAACTTCACATCCTAGCCCAAGGTCATGTTCACACCAGGTATTTCCTAAGCTCTGCTGGAACTGAAGGGGATTGAGTTGGCAGGGCCTTACCTGGAGAAACCTCCAGCCTGATTGTCCCAAGAACATCAACAGAGTTCCTGACAGAGTCATAAATTCCACACCAATAGATGCCCGAGTCCTTCACCCTGAGGTTAGACATGGTGATGGTGATGGTACCAGTGTAGGTGTCATCCACCAGGGAGACTCGTAGGTCTGTAAGTTGTGCAGTGTCCACTGAGTTCCTGGTAATTATTCTTTCACACCACCTTCCATTCTCTTCCAATTTACACCAGGTTTTCCAGCTCTTCTCAGCTCTCCAGGGATGGTAAATGCAGCTCACTCTAAGTGTCTGCCCCTCCTGGTACTTCACTGGCAACACCTCTCCCTGTGAACCTGAAAAGCAGGTCATCAGGTCAGGGGGAGCCCAGCTGGGCCTCCCTTCAGTCCCTTCCCCCTTGACTGAAGAACAGGAACAAGGTAAGGGGGCTGGTCTCCTTAAATAACATTCTTTTCTAAGAAAACATACCTCAAAGAGACATCCCCTCACCCAAGGGAGCCTCCTCATCAGTGGTGGACTAGTAAACAATGAACAACCAGCTGCCTCAATATTTCTCTTTCCCTCCCTCTGTCCCTCTTCCTTTTCTTCTTTGCCCTTCCTCTGTCTTTCCTTCTTTCTTCTCCATCCTCTCTCACTTTATTTTTATAAACATACCCATGTACATACTCTTGACATATTTTAAAATTTCATTTGAATTATTAACATTCTCACTGTCCTTTTTTTTAAAGTGAAGTCAATCAATAAAACAACAAACCAATTTGTCATTTGTGTGCAGTTTGTTAATTTTTTTAAATTGTAAATGCTCCCTCTGGAAATGTAACAATGAGCTCTTCCAAGCCAGTGTGAGCTGCTCCAGCACACCACTGCTCCCATCCCTCCCCAGTCCCTCACCTCAACACAACATCGTATTCCCTCCCTTCTGCCACTCTCCTCTCTCTTCTCTGCTCTCTATCAGTCATCACCTCTACCCTTCCCTAATCTCCCCTCTCCCCCAGATACCCATTAACAGCAAAGGCAGCAGCAGTAGCACTGGGGTTTCCCGGGCCATCATGACTCTGTGGGTCCAGAGGTAGGGGACATGGGAGGTGGTCTCTTCATGCTGTCTTTGGGCTGATGGATGGCAGCAGGGTGTTGGTCCTGATTCTCCACTGGCTAACTCTGAACCTCTGAGAGGAAAGAAGAAGTAAGAGAGAGTGGGAGAAGCTATGGTTGGGGAAGTGGGAGGAGTGGAAGGAGAAGAAGTGCTGACCTCAGAGGAGAGAGTGAGAGTGTTTATTTTGGGGGGATTCTTCTGGGCAGGCCTCTGACCCCAGGATTACCTAGGGACCCTCCTCACGAAGAGCCTTGGCCCTTAGAACCACCACTAGAGCTTGTGTTACACCATAGGCTTCCTGATCTCACACACATCTCACCCCCATGTTTAGGTATCCAATGAGCTTGGGCATAGGGGAGAGGATGAAGGGAAGGAGAACTGGGCCTAGCACTTCATCAGGATTCAGGCAAGTGGAAATGGAGCTGTCTGGTCTGAGAGGACAACTTCAGGTGGATGGCAGCTGCTTGGGAAATGGGGGTCTATTTAGGAAGAACATCCAGGAGAGGAGGATGCCAGCTCCTCACTGCCTCCTCCCTTGTCCTCTCCCTGTGGCCAGGAGGAAGCAGCAGTACACAGAGAGAATCTTCATCTTCTTCCTGGTCACACTAAGTCCCTCCCACCCAGCATTCTCTGTCCTTTCTCCTTCCTCAGGAAGTGATTTGGCTAAAGGGAGTTGAGAGAATGGGGAGGGGTGTCTGCTGGACACAAAGTTCTGTGGTCTAATCAGAAATTATTGTCCATTATTCTCCTGGGGGAGAGACGGGGAGATATCTAGGATTGCCATCTACGTATGCTATTGTCATGGGACCACAGAGGGTAAATCCACAGCCAAAAGAAACCTCAGGAACAATTTAATCAAGTATTTCTCAATGGTCCAAGGATCTCTTGAAGAAGAGAGGGAAGGAATAAGTGTTATGTGGTGCCTACTATGTGCCAGGCACTATTCTAAGTGCTTTTTGCAAATACTATCTCATTGATACTCACAATAACTCAGGGAAGTAGGTACTATTGTTGCCCCTCATTTTACAGTTGAGGAAACTGAGCAAAAAAGAGGGTAAGTGACTCACCCAGGGTCATACAGTTAATAAGTATCTGAGGCTGGATTTGAACCCAGCTCTAACTGACTCCATCCCCAGAACTCTATTCACTGCTCCACTAAGTACCTGTCAGTCCCCAACCCTCTTTTAGGGGTTCCTCATAGGTCATAAGTGTTTATATAATTGTAATAAGTCTCTATTTGCCTCTTTAAAAATACTTTCTTTTCCCAACTATCTATCAGTGTGAGTCCAGATTTTTTTATGTACTTCAGCTAAAACAACAGATTGCAACAGATTGAATGGAGAGCAGACATGAGAATCCAGCTTTGTCCTATTAAGGCACAGAGTGAAGAGATTTTCATAGTTATGTAAGACAATGACACTTCTCACTGACACTTTAAAAAATAGTTGTTTTTACCTTTAAATGTTTTATAAACAGGCAACAGGTTCATTGTTATTATTTTCACTGAATCAATTAATGAATATTTGACTCAAATTTATCACTTTTAATTTCTAATATGGTACATGTCAATAGATATATCCCATAATACAAAGACATATTGGCATTCTCACTAATATTTAAGAATGAATTTGAATCCTGAAACAAAAAATGTCGATAATCTCTGGTTTAAGATTTCAGGAGGAGAATGTTCTGAGTATAAACTCATTTGGTAACCTTTATATTTTTAAAGCTTTTCCTGAAAAAATTCCTGACAAGGTGGTAAGAGCTATCCCTCAGGGCATGCAATCTCCTGACCTTTGGAATCTGACAAGCTCACAGAGGTCTCTAGGTTTGAGAGTGAGCTTAGGGAGCAGTGAGAACATTGATCATTCTTAAAGACGCTAAAAACCTAAGTCAGGCCAGGTAGTTCAATCCTCAGCCATGACAAGTTTCATGTGGTAGAAGAATGAAATCTAGGCCCTGGCCTCATTCATCTCCATGAGACAAGAGAGACCAGGGGTCTGCATAGCAGGAGACACCATGAGGCTTCATGAATGCCTCTGCTAGCCTAACTTCACAGTGATAGCATTGAATTAATACATCCTGCTGTCCTGTTGATTAATGTATTATAACATAAACAATGGATTGTGTCAAGGGTGACTTACTCAGTATATCAGATATGACCACTACCAGAAATGGGAGAAATCTAAGGTGAGATTGCCTTCTGGGAAGAGTAAGGAAGGAGTCTGTTGGCTTTCTTGTCAAAGTTTTGAGCTAACCTAACATAAATTCTTAAAAAAGGAATTAATAGCTACCCTTCGAAGAATTCCTGATACTGATAATTCCGGGGATTACCATTCATTAGTGGAGGAGGGGAGGGAGTGCAATTAGGCACAAAAGAGAAAATCACCCAAAAGACCTTTGACCTCCCTCCTGTTACCATGCCATGTCTGATACAAGAGCTATGTGTATGTTGGAGACATATTACTGATTCAATCTACAGAAAATATGTGAGGGGGTTTTTTTGTATTTTTATTTTTTCCTACTGAATTCTTTATTGAGATGGACCTTTAGCAATAATTGCTCGGCTCCACACACATCCTACAAATGGAAAATGACTGATCTGGTTTACCTCCTTCATTTGAAATATGAAGAAACAGAGGTTCAGAGGAGCCAAATTAGATTTCCAAACCAAGAAGAAGCAGATCTGTGGCTAGACCCGAGGTCTCCCAGTTCCCAGGACAATACTCTTTCTAACATACCATAGTTCCTGGATTCAAAGACAATGCAACAGAAGGCTGCTCCTAGCACCTTCCTCATGGCAGGGTTATGGTCTTCAAGAAAAGACACGGGTAACTTTTTTGTCCCTTACAAATGGGGCCTTTGGTGATTCATGGATGGGGTAGAATCCCTTTAATACAAGACAGCAGTTGTAGTTGTTTCTACTCCAGAATAAAGGGCAGAGCCAGGTCTGGGTAGATCCTGTAGAATGGAGGAGGGACTTCTTGTGAGAAAATAGATGAGGAATGTTGTGTCAGCCAGTAAGCATTTATTAAATGCATGCTATGGCTAGTGCTTATTTAATTTCAACTCAATACAATAAACATTTATAAAGTATGTATTATATGCCAGGCAATATGCTAAGTGCTGGAGCTACAAATAAGAAAAACTGACAATTCTTGTCAACAAGGAAATTGTTTTTTGTTGTTCATCCTTTGTTTTCAAAGAGGACCAATGACATCTAGACCATGATGTCCTAACTTGTGAGTGGATTGGATTTAAATGAAGCAGAGCTGCTCAAAGTCATCAGCTTCACTGTCTCCTCCACAGTCATAGGAATCCAGTGGAAAGACATAAGTCAAGATGATGGCCATGGTCCAGGATGCAGTGGGAGACCTTGGGCCTTTTATCCTTAGGTCTTTCCCAGGTCTCAGTTCATCTGATGCAAGCTCAAATTCAAGGAGCTTACAATTCTGGGGGTGGGGGGGGGGAGAGAAGACAACACACAGAAAAGAAAAACAGAAAAGAGTTAGTAGGAATGCTGGGAGGTCTCTATGAGGGAAGGCATTGAGAGGAGCTTAGTGCACAGTCCTCCAGCCCACCAATTAGAGGGAAGACGCAATTGAGGGTGAGTTGGGAAGGTGAAGACTATCAAAACCTGAATCTTTCTTTCTGGTTGTGAGATCTCAGGTTATCTGCTTTTCCTGGGAGGAGGGCATGATATTCTCTGAAGTCAAAGTCAAACAGAGTTGCTGATGGAAAAGGAAGCTGTTAAGTTATTGTTAAGGCACTATATGAATGTTGCAGTTTCAAGGTATGTTTTAGGGTCATCTCAAAAGAATTCACAGACTCAGATTATCTCCAACCCAAGTAAAGGCATTTATTGAGCATTATGCTCTCCAGGAGGCTAAGCTCCTTAGAGGAACTAGCCCCTTAACAAAACAAAACAGGGATTTTTATGGAGCTGAAAGTAGCACCAAATATCCTGGGATTCATCCAAATATGCTGGATCTAGTTCAACCCACAAGCCCCTGGTAACAAAAACATTCAAAAAGGCAACATAGAATTGTACTTGCAGTCACCTATAAAGCATACAAAAAGCCCACAGAGGGCAATAACGTATGATAATGATATTATAATAACTCTCTCTACATCATAAATTCACCTAAAGGACAGTCTTTGCTATTACTGTGCAGGTGTTCACTTAGGGAAAGTACCTTCTGTGATTTAGTGGCCAACATCCTGCCTGGGTAATGCATTCATTGATTAAAACATATTTATTTATCTTCGGCAGGAGGGGTTCCTCCTTGTCTAGCAACTGTTGCTGACACTAGTATTGCTAACAACACAATTGTTGCTAATATTGCTAACTCCTTCAACTCCCCCCCTCAAGCAATATGGGACCCAAAATCATTTGGGTGGATGAGGGGTGGAGGTCTCAATTTTCTGGAGCTTCATCAGGCTGACAAAGGGCATAAAGCTGTCCCTGCCTCAGTGGGTCCAGGAGGGGAGGTTGACCAGAACCAAGCACAGGCCATATCCAGGGGGTGATGAGTGGGATTGGGCTGGTACCCACTGTTCACTACCAACTGTAGGTGAATGGCCTATAGTCTGGAAAACACAAATCTGACAAGCAAATTTGATATACAGGATCTGAATATTAAAAACAATAAAATAATTAGAAATAATATCTAAATGGGGGAAAACAAAAAAAATCAGGAGCCTCATTAGAATTATTTACATTTGACATATAGGATTGTTACTTTCTTAACAGTTTCCACTCTGATTCCAATTCCTTCAAGAGGATCAGATTCTATTGAGGACCAATACTCTTGCAGGTGGAAACTTTCCACTCCTGGGTTCAATCGTTATGCAAATGAGTTTTACTTATAAGGGTCTGACTTTACTTCAATTATAATAAAAGACTGGGGAAGATACTTAAGTAATTCATGCCAAAGCAGTGCATATCAATAAGTTGTTTATAATAAAACATGTTTGTAATGAAATGGACTTTTATTCCATAAGTTACTTCCCTTTAAGAAAATTGATTGCACTGAAATTCTCTTTCCCAAACCAAACTCAAGATGTTTCTGA